GAAGCCATCGCTAGGTTGTTGGAGGCCATCGCTACTAGGGTTTGCTAGTAGGTTGGAGGCCATCACTCTTGGGTTGGAGGCCATCGCTATTAGGGCGGAGGCCATCTTAGGTTGGAGGCCATCGTTACAAGGTTGGAGGGCATCCCATCTAGGTTGGAGGGCATCCCTTCTAGGTTGGAGGGCATCCCTTCTAGGTTGTTGGAGGCCATCTCTTCTAGGTTGGAGGCCATCGCCATTAGCTTCAGTTTTCTCTTTCCTGTCAGGAGCGAAGCGCATCGCCACAGGTCGCAGAGTGCTCATAGCAAAGCTCATTGTGCCATGATGGGCCATGACGTCACCCGTTTCAGGCGCCAAGAGCACCGGGTCCAACAACTCTGGGGAAGCGTGGCCCCAAGCCACTGCAAGCTGCAAGGCACTTTTTCATATTCTAGTAGCTTGTTACTAGTAGCGATGCCAGGAGCCCCTAGTAGCGTCCGATCGCTCCTAGTAGTAAGGCCAGGAGCCCCTAGTAGCTTATTCATGTTGTTATTCATGTTTCAGATTGAAGTTTGTTGGGTTTCGAGCTGGAGCGGCCTTCCTTTTTCGCTTTGATCGTTGCGACGCACTGGTACTCTGCGGAGTTCTGCGGGTTCCAAAGCTGATATCCCGCACAAAAGACATCAAAGGGCTTGACAGGGCTTGCACTGAAGCTTGGCTTCTAGTGTCCAAAGTGCAAAGGAGGGCGACGGATGGCTGGTCCTAGTTTTGATGCTGACATGCCGAAGACGGTGTTTCAATGCTCATGGATGCATCAAACTGTGCCACGCAAACACTTGGCCAGCGAAATCAATGTTTCCGTTTGTGCGGATGTGGAGAGCACTGAACCTACCCAGCCAATCTGCAGCCCTTGAGCAGTTGATGGATGAAGTTACCAGCCATTTTTCTTGGGCTGCTCCAACTAAGTAGATGGCTACTAAATTAAGTAAAGGCTATGTTAAACTTTCTACTAGTGGTCGCTTACTAAGTAGCTGGGACGCAGGATAGCGCTTGCACTATTCATTTGAGGAAAAACTTAACCACATTTCAAGCAAGGTACGCAGCGGATACAAACTCAGCCTTGTGCAAAGAAACATTGCGATCACACAATTTCTCGAAGAACCGACAACAAACGCGGTGCAAAACTCATTCAAAATGAACCATACCAAATACACTTCACTATGTATATGAACACAGATTTTGCACGTGCTACTTACATGCTCGCGCAACTGCAGACGGGTTGCTGCATCCGCTATGCGCCCGGTTCCGCAACTTCCTTGCCCGTTGTATATTCAGGTGTAAGGACATGAGATGAGAAGCTATTCCTTTCTCTCCAGGCAATTTCTCCTTCTGTACACGGTTGAAGAATGCAGAGTCAAGCATCAATATAGGCTCCAAGCGCCGTGGTTGCGAACACTACTTCGTTGATGAAGTTGTTATACGCATGTCAGTTTCTCTTTTTCGAGTGATGATCACTCACAAAGCACGTGCAACTTGCAGTGTTTGTCGATTTCTGTCTTAGGCCATTGGATGGACAGGCCCGATATGAAACAAGATTTTGCCCGGCCGGTTCTTCTGTTCACATGCTGTTTCCAGGCAAAGTCCGGGGCGAACCTTCTGCATTCAGGTCCGGGACGTTGTACTCTGCAAGCGTTGTACTCTGTTGAATGGGTCGAAGACAGTGATGGTGTGTGAGGACAAAACTTGTTGCCGGAGCAAGACGAAACGGTCATTGGCGGCGAGGAGTGAGTGAAAGTCTTGCTTAAATTGAAACAATGTTCGCTACGTTCGGGGCTCCTGGCCTTACTAGGAGCAAGGACGCTACTAGGGTCTCCTGGCATCGCTACTAGGAGCAAGAAGCTCCTAGTAACAAACATGTTGAACCGAAGGATTTGCTGACATGTTCACATGGAGCGCAACCTGAACGCGACCTCGCTGCAAGTGGGTAGCTACTAGCTAGAACGCAGGATAGCTCATGCTTCTTCAAAGAAGCTCTCATCGCCAGAGGGCGGGAGGAGCTTCCTTGAAGAAGCGCTCACGCTATTCATTGAGTTCCTAGATTTTGAGGGAAGCCACCTTCTGTGAAATCTGAGTTTTTCAGGTCATGTGCAGCTTTTCAGACAGCTTCAGTTGCGACCTAGAACCAAAGCACTTCAAGGAGAAGATGCGAGGAAAAGCAAACAAACAAACAATCAAACAAACGCAACTCTTCAAGGTTCATTTGCTGTTCTTTTTTGGCACCTTCTTAGCTTTCGAGGTCCAAATGGCAATGCTACGATGCATACTGTCGAGTATGCATGGGTCTAGGTCGCTGTGAAGCCGTGTTTGGTTTCCGCAGTTCGACGGCCTAGCAGCATGCGAGGTGTAAATCAGATTTTGCAAGGGCTCAGCTACTATTGCATTTGTCAGAGACCCAGATGCAAAGCATTTTGGAGGCCATCGATTCTAGGTTGGAAGCCATCGCTAGTAGGTTAGAGGCATTAGGTTGGAGGTTAGTACTTCGGTCAGGTATTGCAAATGTGATTGTACCAACCTCCGGCCGAGCTGAGGGCGGAAGCGCAGAACAAATTGGGGTCTTGTGTAATGGCCTAATAGCAGGAACCTAATAGCGATGGCCTCCAACCAGGGGGTAGAACACGAGCACGTGTAGAACTACAATGCTGAGACTATCCAGTTGCACCTCAGAGGAACACCTCATTGATGTGGATCCTGATTTTCCCACAACTCGTGCTGACGTTGAAGGTAGGAGATCCTTTTTGAATCGATAAAACATCCTTTCGTTTCGTGGTTCGTTTGAGGCCATACACTGGTCGAGAACCACTCACCGACCACAGGTTATGCTCTTGTGACGCTGTTCCAGTCGGGAGCCCCGAGCGCCAGCGCAGCGGACCGACGGCGTCGGACGATAGACCAATCAGAGAAACCGGCGTTGGCCGGGACGAAGAAGCGATGCCGAAGCTACTAGTAGCGATGCACTTGTTTCTACTAGCTTCATTTTACTAGTAGCGATGCCAGGAGCCCCGTTCGTAGCGTCCGATCGCTCCTAGTAAGGCCAGGAGCCCCGAACGTAGGAATGGCCTCCCTTGGCCCAGGAGCACCACCATTGCGTTGGCCGTGCTGGACCTGGCCGGACTCCGTCGTCGCGAGATTCTGGCGGTGCAGGCACTGAGAGCTTTTACAGAAGCATCAACACATAAAGAGCTTCACGTAGGTGGTTGGCATCATGCCCTGCTTACTTACAGCGTGGGGTGTTGCCCATGGCCATCGTACCTCAGCAGCCAACATTTGAAGTAACGGCCTGCTTCTGGCCACGTTGAACAGTTGTGATGAATCTGTGGAAGGCTATTCGCTTTTGCTTTCATTGAGGAAAAGGAATTGCAGCTCTTGCCAAGGTATTGAGGGCGGTGTACTGGATCCCGCTCAGACGTATTGCCCCAAGCGATGGCCTCCCTACTAGCAATGGCCTCCAACCTGATAGGGATGGCCTCCAGAAGCGATGGCCTCCACCTAAGGGCGATTGTGTAGTTCAGGCATATTTGGATACATGCTGTCACCCTGACGGGCTCAGATACATGCTGTCACCCTTGAGCTTCCTGTGCCAGGCACGAATCGTTATTGACCATGTTCTTTCCACAGAAGGCCAAGTAGGTTCCTGAATAGATTTTGGCCACCCAGAGATGGAATGCAGGAAGGAGAAGTAAGGATAAGTCTCGTCTTTTTGTACAAAACATCTAGGAACCAAATGAATAGTGTGAGCGCTTCCTTGAAGAAGCGTGAGTTACCCGTTCAGTTGATAGGAGTGTGTTTAGTCCCCGATAGCTACTAACTAGCTTATACTTAGAACAAGAAGCTACTAGTAACAAGTGCATCGCTACTAGTAACAAGTGCCTTACTAGTAGTAACAAGGAAGCTATTAGAAACAAGTGACTGTAACCTTGTCAGAGGCCTACCCCCCGGCTCAATATCGGTGCAAGATAGGTGACAAGGTCGCGAAGTAATGTTCCTAGTAGCGATGCCCTTGTTACTACTAGTAAGGCACTTGTTACTACTAGTAAGGCCAGGAGCCCCTAGTAGCGTCCTTGTTACTAGTTTCCAAAATAGGTTCAGGGATTTGCGAGGAGAAATTCTGTGAAACTTTTAAATAAGATCCTGAGGGGGGGGTCGGGTAGAGGACGCTACTAGGGGCTCCTGGCCTTACTACTAGGAACAAGGACGCTACTAGGCCTGAATGTTACCTTCACCAAACATCTAGGAACCAAATCAATCATGCGAGGGAGTGCGATAGCTAAAGGTTGTTCTAAGCTTGCCAAGCAAAATGTAGCGAGTTGTTTCTTGTTTGATCCAATTTGCGTGTGTAACATCCAGCGGAGCAAGATCGGCAGGTTTTGTGGCTGGAGCTGTGGCTTCGAGTTGCAGCTCCGCATGGCGATGACCAAGCCAAGCTACTTGAAGCGAGAAATGTCTTGATTATTTAAAAAGCATAAACGGAGTAGGCTGGAGGCCATCGCCAGTAGGTATCGCTAGTAGGTTGGAGGCCATCGCTAGTAGGTTTATGAAGTCTAAGGAATGTAATAAAAGGTCTAAGTTGCCACCTTAAAGGGGCCTTGCCTTCCTTCTTTCATCTCTTTCTTCTTTTTGTGGTGTTCGGTATTCAGCCTTTTCACCTTGGGTGTCTAGAGCAATGCAGCATATCTCAAAGATGTTGGAGTGTGAGAGAGAGAGGTAGAGAGGAAGATACCAGAGTGTGCGCGCAAGAGGCAGGAGAGAGAGAGAGAGAGAGACACAGACAGACAGACAGACAGACGGACAGACAGACAGACAGACAGACAGAGAGAGAGAGAGAGGGGGAGAGAGAGAGAGAGAGAGTGAGGGAGGGAGGGAGGGAGGGAGTGAGTTGGTTTGAGTTGGGGTGGTGTCAGGTCTTTAATTTAGATATAGGCCAAGGTTAGCTGAGTTTGAATCCACACCCACACACTTATGGATATGCATACGGAACTGAAAGCGGTGCCACACGCCGGCCTAAGAAACCCAAATCCTGAAAGGTCGAGTGAGGTTCTTGGCTTAGCCTCATGCCATTCAGAAGAATCGGAAAATCGCAGGTACGCTCGGATGATCAGTCCGAATATCCCACTCTGTGACCTAGCTTCGTTGAACTGGGTCAGTCACAGAGTGCCCAGTTCCCTGCTGAGCAAAACAATTTAAAAGAATCCCTGTGACTACAAGGGGCACACACACACACGCCTCCCCGAGGGGAGGCGCAAAGCTAAGGTGAGGGCCAATGTGCACGTGTGCACGCACATGAGACAAACGAATGAAGACATGACAGGAGGACGAGACGGGACAAAGGTGCGTGTGGTTGAAATGAAAGGGGAACCAAGTGCACAGGGACACTCGATGAAGCCCACCTCATTGTAAAGACCTGGGCGACCTAAAACCTGTGTTTAAAGGTATGTAGAAGTGCACGTACACACTAAGGCCGGGACCAATGTGCACGCAAACGAAGAAAAGGATGAGATGAACAGACATGAAGGCAGGAGGACATGAAAGAAAAGAGGAAACAAAAGTGTGCGAAGGAGAAGGGATGAAAGGGGAACCAAATGGAGGGGACGAGAACCGATGAAGCCAAACCTCATTAGAAGCACCTAGGGACCTGCCTCGTTTGAGTGTAAGCGCTGTGTGTGCACCTGAGGTGGGGACAGGTTCCAATGAACCTTAAACTTGCTTTGACCGCTATGGTCACCTTGTGCCCTGCCGAGATGGCTGGCTGCTTTGACCGCTGCGGTCACGTAAAGGCATGAGCCAACTTGGAACTCCAAAGATGAGACAAACATCCCAATTCTTGAGGCATAAGCCATCTATGCTCGCTGTGAGCTGCTCTGTATCCAGGCAGGGGATACGTTCGACAAACCCCCGTTCGACGGGTCCACGGGAGGCACTCTGCGGGCTCATCCCGGGTTGGCGCAAGGCCAAACACACTTATGGGTATGCATACGGAACTGAAAGCGGTGCCACACGCCGGCCTAAGAAACCCAAATCCTGAAAGGTCGAGTGAGGTTCTTGGCTTAGCCTCATGCCATTCAGAAGAATCGGAAAATCGCAGGTACGCTCGGATGATCAGTCCGAATATCCCACTCTGTGACCTAGCTTCGTTGAACTGGGTCAGTCACAGAGTGCCCAGTTCCCTGCTGAGTAAAACAATTTAACAGAATCCCTGTGACTACAAGGGGCACACACATGCACGTGGTGTGTGCTGAAAGCTGACATTCTTCTTACAGAGGGATAGGTAGCCCACCTTTGCAGGGACAGTGAGCCGGGATCATGATGGCAGCGCCCAACATAACCGCAACACACATAATGTGCCTGACGACACGCCAGGAGAACCATGACAGCAAACAACCAGGGTCCGTTCCAACCTACTAGCGATGGCCTCCAACCTAGGAGCGATGGTTTACTTAGTAGCTTCTTGTTACTAGTAGTAAGGCCAGGAGCTACTAGTAGAGCTACTAGTAGCGTCCTTGCTCCTAGTAGCGATGGCCTTTGCTACTAGTAGCTTCTTGTTGCGCGCAAAGGGTTGGAAATCAATCGCGCTCCCAGAAACCGTGGCTTCGCCCAGTACTTCCTCAGACTCTCGTTTCCACGAATCAACGAGTGCTCATCTTCATTGGACATCATGGCCGGCAACCAATCGCGAAGTTCAAGGAGACGATTCACTGCCAGATTAAAGGTTTACTGAAGAAATGCCAGTGGCAAGCCAACCGCAGTGCGTGATCCAACCACAAAAATTTATCCAGGACCGAGCGACGTCGCTGAATGGAATGCTGTCGATGTACGCAACGCAAAAACCGAACGGCACATTTGGAAGGACAAGACCACAAAAAACCGAAGTAACAACACGAATGAACACGCCGAAGATTCGAACAAACACCTTCGAGCTGTCATGCTGCGCACGACGCTCGGCCAAAGAAAAATAACGTGAAAGCATTGAACGACAGGTCGAATTCGCATCGCTTGTGGAACGCTACTAGTAGCTCCTGGCCTTACTACTAGGAACAAGAAGCTACTAGGAACAAGTGCCTTACTAGTAGTAACAAGAA